CCCCTACTCTCCTAGACTGGCTACGTTCCCTCTGGCTTGGAGTTACCCTAGCTTTCTGGGGCGGTATTCAATCCTTCCCCCAGGGGGATATATCCCCCTACTCTGATTCAATCCTCTGGGGGGACAAAAAAGGGTTGCGTCATAGGACCTAGCATACCTCTGTGTTTCTACCTGCCAGACAGTTAGAGCAGCGCGACTACCCTCCACTGATGAAGCACTCTTTTTCCCTGAGGGGTCGCGCTGCTCTAACTGTCTGGCAGGTAGAAACACAGAGGTATGCTAGGTCCTATGACGCAACCCTTTTTTGTCCCCCAGAGGATTGAATCAGAGTAGGGGGATATATCCCCCTGGGGGAAGGATTGAATACCGCCCCAGAAAGCTAGGGTAACTCCAAGCCAGAGGGAGTGTAGCCAGTCTAGGGGTGGGGGGGGGGGTGAGGGCAGTCACTTGACATGCGTGAAAAGCTGGAATGTTCGAGTTCACACTAGTTCGCCGAGAAGCTGCATCATGATGCCCCTAACTGGAAGACGGTTTACGGACTACTTGATTTTTCCTCAATGGTCCTGCCGCGATGGCTAGAGCACAGACGATTAGAGAATGCCCTAGGACTAAGCCTTGGAGAGGAGAGGGACCCGCTAGAGAGCGCAGAGGCGGTAAAGGGCTGAGTTCAAGTAGTCCGTCGACCTGGAATAGACCCGACATTTTTTAACAAATAATATACGTATGCAAGTCGTAACAAGGAACACGCATTAACGCAACCACCGAGTACATAACGAAAAAAAGAACATGAAATCAGGAACAACCAGCAGCAATAACAAAGCCAAGCGTGAAGGTCACTTCAGTCTTTGAGCTATTTAATGCAACATCGACATTTTTGTATTGCGGTAGAAGCAGGGTAGTGTAGCGAAAGTTCCGTAGATTTGCGTTACTCATCATTCAAATGCTCCTGTTAGTTCTCATGGATTATATTTAGCATATTAACTTTTGTTAATGTATTTTGTTCAAATTTTTGGCCCTCTCAAGCTTGTCATTCTTCCAGAGATTGTAAAATATTTCATTTTAATCAACAACAAAAACCACATCTTTCAGATTTTTGAAGTTGGTGCAGTCTGCGTGGAATATTAGTGAACCTTGGGTTGTTGCTTTTGTTTACCGTGCGTGTTATGCCATCTAGGAATAAGCTGAGAAAGTCCAGCAGTGCCACAATTACAGTGAGCTACTTTTTCACGCTTTTTATTCTTCTGAAAATACGGTACCAATCATCTATTACAACCCTAAAATCTGGAAAATTTGTTTTACTTGGAAACTTTGCCCATAGAGGTAATTTGATACCTCGATTACAAAAGCCGGTACTACTCCACTATTGCTGTCCCAAAACTTCAAATTTTATTTTTCGTCGAAACTTTGCCTATAGGGGTAATTCGATGCCCTGATTACGAAATATGACATTCATTTTTGGCGCTGGCGCCATTTGGCGCCACTTGTCACGACGGCTGTTTTCACCAAATTCGGTGTAAACTTGTACATAGGGGTTATTTGGTGTCCTGATTACGAATATGATATTAATTTTAGCGCCTGTGCCGTTTTATGTCTACCTACCCCGAGTCCCCTTCCTCAATGAGGCTAACCCCTAGGCACTAAAGTGAAAGGGTGGAAATGCTCAGAAAATAGGCACAAATCCTCACCAGCGCCAAAAATTGATGTCATGTTCGTAACCAGAGCGTCGAATCACCTCTGTAGGCGAAGTTTCTACAAAAAATAAAAATTTGAGAATTTGGAGCTGTAATAGTGGAAATAGCACCCGAAATGAGTTCCATTTTTGGCGCCCGCGCCTGTTGACGCCACTTTGTCACGACAACTGCCTCCACTAGGGGTTATTTGGTGCCCTTATTATAACGACCCTCGATTTTGGCATCAGCGTTCTTTGGCGCAATTTTCTCCTCTGCTATGCTCTCTCACTTGTAACGCTCAAGGCTAACTTCAGAGGGAGCGGATTCTTGGATGGTCAACAAGTTGCAGGTGAGTGCTTGCTCACCTGGGAGTCTTCCTCAGGTTTAGCCCTGATCACGATCTAATTGGTGAGAGGGCGCAGAAGAGCAGAAAATAGGCGCCAAATGGAATGTCGTATTCCACCAAATTACCCTTCCGATAAATGTTTCAACACAAAATAATTTTGAGATTTCGGGCTTCTAATAATTGATTAATGAAGAAGTTCTACTGGATGTTTAATCCATTCGTTTGACAAGTTGGCAGAAGGGTTCTTTAATCTTAAGAGAGATAGATCCACGCACATTTAGGGCGGCGAGATCTGTCTCGCAAAGTTCACGTTAGCCGCCATCATATTTTGTAAGGCCCTAGCGCTATTGTCGCGCACTTTCAAGCCGCGGTACAGCTGTGATAGTCACGAGCTACTCTGTCCTACGCACAGAATAGATTGTTCGACACGACCTCATTGTTGTTGTTACAAAACAGATGAACTCTCACAAGGGAGAAATTCTAGGTTGAAGTGACCATTTGTACTGGAAGTAGTGTCGCTAGGTGTATTTTTGGATTCTGATATAGAATATTCTTGCAAGCCTGCTAAACGACTGTTTGGACGTAGTTATGAGGGCAGTGGTAATGTTCTTGGCTCATGGGCGCGACTTCGTGGAATCGATGGTTCGACATTACGATACAATCGTTACTTTTTTAGCAAACACAGTTAAACCCTTTGACGACCGCCGTTATGAATGCGTCACTTCACTTCTTTCTAAATTTTTTCATCAATAATCATTAACTCTCCAACAATTTTCACTATTAGTAATTAGCGCATTATTCCGCGAATTCGATGATGTATTTGTGTAGTTTTGAACATAAAAAATGCCAAAATAAACCCTAAAAACGTGTCGCCACCGAGCGAAAAGTGTGGC